CCAGGCACCAGCCCGGCAGGGTTACTCCTGGGGTCCTGTGTCAGCAGTGCAGAAAAGGCCCTGAGGGCAGAGGTCACCAGGAGGTCCTCTGGAGTCCCTCCTAGAGGAAAAGGGGCCCATCAAGGCTTAAGAGCTGAGGGCAAGTGGCTTCTTTCCACTGGCTTCCCTCCTCTTCCTTCCTGCCCGGCTCTGCTGGCCCAGCCCAGCCACGCCTGCTCTCCTGCTTCCCCAGCACATCTCTGGGAACCACGCAGGGAATTTAAGTTTTCAGAAAAATGAAACCTTTAAATTGTTAAAGAATCTAAACAACCCCAAATCTCTATTTACTAATAGCACAGACACCCTGTCTGTCGTCTGTCTTTCAATTAATCGATGTATCTATCATCTACCAGTCACCTAGCCTTTACTCAATCATTATCTATCTATCATCTGTACCTACATGTCGTTATTAATAGTTACCTAGTATCCTATTGGGTTGATAAACCATTTATCTGTCTAGATATTTTCTTATTTCTGGGCCTTTGTGGTGGTTTGTCGTTTTGTTTTTGATATTAAAATTTGTGCTGTTTTGAGTATTTTTTCATAAATGACTTTTTTTCCCCTTTCAGATTCTTTTCTGCATTGAATTCCTGGATCAAAGGGTACAAACTGCCTGAGGCTCTGCTGCATCTCGAGAGACCCCCGTCCAGCACCCTGGGCCCAGGCTGCAGCAGAGAGGGTGGACTCTGCCCCGCATCGAAGGTTTCCGAGGGCTCCAGCCCTTGCATTTACTTTAGATGGTTAGTAGGTGCATCTGGTACATAAATGGCATTGCTTCACGTGCCCTTAAAGTCAGCCCAGGGTGCCTTTTCCTAGCTGATGACATATTTGTATTTAGTCCCTTTTCTGGTGGATCCTGGACACTGGGCACTGGGCCCACCTTTACAGTACGTTTTCATTGCCCGTGTTTAATGGCTAAAGTTCTACCTGCTCTGTCTCTGCAGTAGTTTCATCCCATCTTCCCGGGGCTACTCTGTCTCTCACAGAGTAGGCAGTGGGGTCCAGAGGGCAGGTACGCGGCCTTTACTGTATTGCATCCCCGACCTTGGCCCTCTGGGAGGCCTGGTGGGGCCTGTACTCACCGGGGACCAGGGACGAGGTGTTGGAGCCAGGCCCACAGTGATGCCTGGGCAGTAAAGCCCCTGGCACTCAGCCAGGCTGGCTCTGCCACAGTGGGCCCTGGGGCAGTATAGCTGGCAGTCCTCCGCCTGGGAAGCTGTGGGGGCCTTTTGGAAATTGCCCTGGGTGAAGAAAAGGATGAGATGCCACCAAGGTCAAGGTCCTAGAGGCCAGAAAAAGGCTGAAGGCCTTGGACAGGCTGGCCCTGCACCCTCCCCTTGGACAGACAGGGCAGGAGAGAGAAGATGGATCAGTGCTCTCCAAGGAAGGATCCCCCAAGATACATGCACTAGTGGTAGCATTGATTTTTCAGTAGACCGAAAGTGTTTGACCACAAAATGCCCACCCTGTAAGGAATGCTGTAACTGTGAGCTAAAAATAAAATCTTAAGCCTCCTCCCACCTGCTTCTTCCCACCTACCTCCTCTATTAACTGAACAGACCAGACCCTTCTCAGCCAAGGGAACCCCAGAAATACCTTAAAACAGAGTTCCCAGCCATGACGTGATGGAAGAGGGAAAGCACAATTACAAATGCACATGATTTCTCTTTTCATAAATATTCATGACTCCTGTAGCTTGTTCAATGTCCTGTGAAGCACTTGTCCCTGGCTTCTGGCCAGGGTGCTGTTGGAATGTTCACCCAACAGGCCGCTACCCTTTATGAGAAATAGAGCTCTCCTTTTTCCAAAGTATAAACCTCATTTTCTTCAAATTAACATAACCATGAATACTTCATAGCAGATGTCGATGGCAGGGGGGAAGAGAGATCAGAAGAGCGAAGGCCATCTGAAAAGGTGTGTGTGCACTGGGGCAAGGCACCTGGCTGCGGGGCATGGAGGAGAGGCTGTCCCACTGACAGCTGCACCTGCACGTGCCCCCCCACCTCCCACAGGCCTGGGATACACTGTCCCTGTGACCTTCTGTCTAGCACCCTAGTAGGAACCAGCTGTGGGAGTGTGAGCGGTCCAGCCCTCATCAGAGTGGAGGTGGGGACTGGGGTGTGGTCCTGTCATGGTGAAGGCAAGTTGTCCCTCCGGACCACTAGTACAGGCCGATGGCCCCTGGGCCTCCTTGTGCAGAAGCTGAGAGACACCAGCTGGAGGGACCCAGGCGAGGGTCTCACTGCAGGCAGGTGGTGGACAATAGGCCCCCGGCTGGGCAGTAGTGCCAGGCAGACATGTCATGGGGCGAGCCAGCTTTTTGTCTGGCTGCACAGTTTTCTTCCTGGGGATTCTTGGCAGCAGAGGTGACCTGACCTGGACCGTGGGAAGGGGTGTGGGCAGTAAGGTCCAGGTTCTTTCCACACCTCTAACTTGTGGGCCTGGCTCACGGCAGCGACTCAGGAAACGTGTGGAGTTGAGGAGGCTGCTGCTGGCCCAGCCCAGGCTCTGTGTGCGCCTCCCTTATGAGGAGGGCAGATGCCGGCAGACCTGAGGTGCTCTCTGTGCCCCTGGCCTGGCTGCAGGATTGTCGTGCCTAGAGGAGGGGGCCCAGGCTGGAGGCCTCCCTATGGGTCAGAGAGGCTAATGAGCCCTCCTGCACAGCTGGGACCCATGGGTGGTCTTGGGCTGTGTGGTCACGGTGGCTGCACGGTGGGCCACTCTGTGGGTCTGTGCCACCCACCCTGCCTACCTCCTCCCACCTTCCAGGACTCACACGGTGTCTACATGAAGCCCTGGGCTCTCAGGGAAGACATGGGGCAGATGGTTGGGGTCTGCCACATCACCTTAGTACTGGGTGCTGGAGCCCAGCTGGGTTTGTGTCTCGGCTCTGCCATCTGCAGACCCCTCCTCATTCAGGAAGGGACAGCTATGCTGGGGAGGGGGTTGGCCCTGAGCTGACACAGGTGAGGGCGCTGAGGATGGTTGAGCTCCAGCTAGAATAATAAGGGAGAATGATGGTGCTTCCTGAGAAGGCAGGAAAGATCATGGCTAAAGACATAATTAGGCTCTTTGGGCAGCAGCCATTCCCCTCAGTTCTCCTGCTTGGAAAATGTACGATACTGAAAAAGAGGCACATTCTGTGAGTTGTTCTGCCCAGGGCTTCATGTCATTTCCTCGAATAATCACTAAGTTCCTCCAGTGATAGGAGCTTCCAGAGATAGCAGCAGTAGAGCAATGTGGCATTTATGCAATGGCACTTCCCCTCTAAATGGTTAAAATACAGTCGCATCCCAAGGACAGGGCAGCGATGCAGGAACGTGCTTTAGGAGAGCTCCTGCCCTCACCTTTCCTTGGGACGTCCCCTGCACTTCGGCAACTTGATGTACTTGTAGTTTAACATGTAGAATTTTGAAACTAATGTTTATAGACTTCAAAGTCTTTTTAAAATAAAAAAAATTTAAATTGATTTGATAAAAGTCTTTTCTTGGAGAAGGATGCAGAGGATTTGCCACACTGAGGACCTCAGGGAGTCTTTATTAGACTGTGTGCACCTGCCGCCTCCTCCCTGGGCATCGCTGGCTGCTGAGGACCATGCGACATTACAGGCAGGAAGCCACGGACGGGCCTTCTTGCTGCTTTTGGAAACATGAAATGGAGAGGGAAAGTCCTCCTGCGAGTTTTATCAGAACTTACACTATTCCCGAGCCTTCCTCCCTTGGTGGGGGTAATGACCAGACTTTAGGCTCAGCTTGTCATAATAGAATTTCCAGGGCTAGGTTATGTCACACGTGACTTACTCTTAAACTTTGTTGGGTAAAGCAAAACAAAACAAAAACAGAAACAAATTATTTAAAAATCCACGGTTTTTCACAATTAGCTCTCTAGAGCCCAAGAAGCAGAATATAAACCTGGAAGAACAGTTCCCACTCTTAGTGTCTTGATTCCGGAGGGTGTTCTTATCGGTGACAGCTGCACAGACTTGTGAGGGCTTTGCCTTCTTTTAAGTGAGGTTATGCTTCAAGTAAGACTCTCTCTAAACGATCAGTGTCACATTTCTGCTTCTTTTAGTGGAACTTGTGCATATAACTGTGGCAACTCCAGGAGAGAATCCCATGTGGTGATTTATGCCAGGGCTCCTGTGCACAGGGTAAGGGCAGAGGGGAAGGCAGGTGGATGTGGATGGGGGAGGGTGGGTTCTCCCCACATTGAGGCTGAGTCCAGAGAGGTGAGCAGGGACCGGCTCTATCCCAGCGTTTAGTGGACAGGGTCATCTGTTCCCCACCACGAGATCCAGGGGGACCAGATCTCTCTCTCTCTGAAACAAGGGCCAGCGCCCCAGCCCCAGAACTTCCCGGACCACTGGAGCGTGTCAGGCTGTTTGGCTCCTACATTTCTGGAGCCCCACCCATGGGAATTTCAGCCCTAAGAAACCTCTGTAAACCCCTCCCCTACCACCACACAAATTCGTGGCAGAGGGAAAGCCCGGGAAAGACAGGTGAGCCAGACCCCAGAGTGGGGTCTCCATGGGGTCTGACAGTCCCGAAGACTCTCTGTAATGACCAGGTTGTGAAAACAAAGTGCAGGGAGGGACCTTGGGGTGAGGGTGGGTCTGCAAGCCCCTGTCAGGCTCCTCCATGCCTGTCCCTTCTAGGACCCACTCTCAGGAAGAGCAACACTGGCCGCTTACCTGCACCCCGGCACCCCATAGACAAAAGCCACCAGCACTAGTGAGAAAAAACACATCTATTAGGAACATTAGGAAGCAATACATGTATTGGTAGGAGGAAGCCATTAGCACATAGGGGATGTGATACCATGAGACAAAACAGGTCTTCTCTGAATGAACAAACTTTCTCTTGGAGAAAACTTTCCACTAGGAAAGGCACAAGCAGCATGGTCTTGTTCAGCAGACAACCGTGTTGCGTGATAGTGAAGGTGACCCCAGGATCTTGCTTTGCTCATGCTGGCTGGGCCGGGCTGAGACTGGCTGGGGGCACAGGCTCCCTGAGTCAGGAGGCCCAAGTGCTGTACCTGTTTTGGACCTCCCTGTTCTTCCTAGGACAGCTGTGGCCCATGGTGGTGATATGGTGACTGCAGGTCACATCTTGGATTACTCTCCTTTGCCTTGGGTGGGAGGGATCCCTGGGGTAGCAGGAACACCCGTCCACTGGGGCCTGCAGTTGCTCCTTGTGACAATTGAACTCCAAGGGAATAAGTCCTTGCCAAACCCCAATTTCTCCACTAGGATCTGTCCAACTAGTGCAACGATTGCCTGGATTTCAGCAGCCCTGCTGTGCACAGACACTCTTCTTGTGGCTGGCCCTGGGCTCTGGCTGGGGCTGACCCAGGCTTGCCCTTCTGCGGGGGATCTTCCTGCCTTTTGCCTTTTTTATTGGGCTTCAGGCACTGCAAAAAATGTGCCCTTTACTGAAGCGGCTTTCTTCTGTAAGTTTTCTGCCAGAAAATGATTCCCCTGACCTGGGCAGTGTGGCTCATCCCACTGTCTTGGGAGGTCCTTGGTCCTGCAGACCTTTTTTCATGCTCTGCTAGTTTGGGCCTCCCCCAGGGCTCTGTCTTCTCAGTAGGGCCAAACTTCTTGCTCATCTTCCAGGACACCTTGAGTTTTGGGCTGCTGGGCTCCTGCTGCTCCTGGCTGCTCCCTCCCTTCCATGTGGGGTCACATAGCCCCTGGGAAGATGACATTTCCCTACTGGACACACTCACGGAATAAGACAGAGGGGCCTAAGAAGCAACAGGTCTATGGGGGGAGCATGTCGGTGTGACGGCCTCGAAAGTACAGGCCAGTGGCACAGTCTTGGAGAAGGATACCAGTGGCAGGACCTTGAAGCTGGTTCTCTGACTCTACCTCCACTTTGAACTCAAACTTACTGACAACCTTCATTTTTAGGCGAAGCTCTCCTGGATCCTGGCTGGGAGAAATTCTAGAGAGTGGGGAGCTCTTACTGGTCTCCAGAGACGCTGAACTCAGATTCACATCGATGGCTCCATACTTCGTGATCATACTTGCTCCCAAGGTGACTTCCCAAGCAGGAGTCTTCTCCTCCTCAGCCTCTATGGTCTCCTGGGCCCTTAGGATTGGCACCCACTGCTAAGCTCCAGCACTGCTCCCCTACTGAAGGGGTCTCCTGAGGCCACGCTCTCCTTCTTCTCCCCTGGCGCATTCCTGCCCATTGCTGGACTTAGACTTGGCTCTGCACTGCCCCTCCTGGCCCCAGGACAGCCCTACTCTGCCAGGTTCTGTCCCCAAGGCTGCATGTGAGGGGCTGAGAAGGTCATCTGCCCTCCTGTCCAGTGGGAGGCGCCTCTGAGTAGCCATGGTTGTCCCCAGACTGGGGCCATCTCTGGATGTCCTCTCCCACAAGTGAGGGGACAGAGAGAAAGCCAGTCAGGTGAAGACTGACTTCTCTGTTGTCACTTTCCCTCCTGGACCTCTCCAAGGACATTCTCCCAGCATGTTGTCAACCTCACCTATAGAGTCATCCCCAAACTCAATGATGGCCCAGGAGGGAAAAGCAGAGTGTGGAAGGGGCTGGGGCTGAGTCTTGAGATCTATGGGCTTCAGGGACTGGAGGTTTGAGCCCCACCTGTGCCTTACGTGGAATCTTACAGTGTGAGTTTCTAGCATCTGCTGAGTGCAGGGATTGAGGAACAAAAGCTCCTGGGAGGTGCTCATGCAGCATTTCCGACCCCTGCAGGATGGCAGATTTGTGGGGTTTGTGCGGGAAAGAATCTCTGGGAAGGGCTCCATGAGGGTGAAAGGAAACAAGGACTTGAGCAGGGACCCAAGGCAGGGGCCAGAAGATCCACCCACAGGTTCAGAAATACCTCACTGAAGGTTCTAGAGGATGATGAGGAGGAGGCAGACAGTGGGTGGATTAAGCCTCAGAGCTATACATGAGGAAATTGCTTAGTCAGGGGCCCAGAGAAGCAGCATGTCAAAAAACCCCTGAAACTTCATTTGGACAGAGCACCATGGCTGAGGGCATGGTCCCTGCGCCTGTGCGCGGGTCCTGGCTTCCTGCCAGCTGTGCTGTTCCCACGTGTGACGCCCCCACAAAACCCACAAATCTACCATCGTGGAGGGGTCGGAAATGCTGTGTGAATGCTTCTCACGACCTTTTCTTCCTCGATCCGTGCACTCAACAGATGCTCGAGGCTCACATTGTAAGATTCCAGGTTAGGCACAGGTGGGGCTCAAACCTCCAGTCCCTGGAGCCCATAGATCTCAAGGCTCGGCACCGGCCCCTTCCACACTCTGCTTTTCCCTCCTGGGCCATCAATGAGTTTGGGGATGACTCTTTAGCTGAGGTTGACAATTTCCTGGGAGAATGTCCTTGGAGAGGTCCGGGAGAGAAGGTGACAACAGAGAAGTCAGTCCTCACCCTGACTGGTTTTCTCTCTGCCCCTTCACCTATGGGGGAGGATGTCAGGAGGATTGTGAGAGGACCCCAGTCTGGGCACAACCGTGGGCACTGAGCTCCTGGACCCCACCTGTGGTTATGTCCTTGCTGCTTTCACTTGCACACCCAGGAGGCTGGGAGGGCAGAGAGGTCCCCTGCTTGTCTTCTGCCAAACAGTGACCCCTCCCTGAGAATTCACCCTGAGGCTCTCTCAGCTCCCAGGATGCAAGGGTCTGCAGGGGGTAGTCCCACTGGCCTTTGTCTGGGATGAAAGTCTTTGAATGTGTTGCTCCTGCTGCTCCTGCTGCTCAGGGCTGATGGAAGCCCCAGGAACGGTGGAGGCTGCCCTGTGGCCCGGGAGGCCCAGCTGTCCTGGGGATGGTCGGGAATGGGTTGGCTGAAGGCTGCCTGAGCGCTTTTGAGCAGAAAGGGTAAAGTTCTTTTCCATCTCTGCCGCTTCTACAAGGCCATTCCAGGTGTTTACTTCCGGTTGGGATGAGGAGTTGTGCCTTCTCCTGAGATGTGGGGTAAGTTGTTCTATAGCTTCCTGTAAGGTCCCTTTACTCTGGGGTGGAGAGCAGGATGGGATGTCTGGGGAGGTGGGGTGGGAGATGGGCCTGCGTATGTTCTTCTCCAGAGGTGGGTCTGGGGCTGGGACAAGTTTTGAGTCCTAGGCTGTGGCTGGGCCATGCGGTAGGGCCAGGGTTGGGCCTGGGGAGGCTGAGAAGATGCTTCAGATTGAGTTTGCAGTGGAAAAGCCTCAGGGACTTCATTGAATGAGATGGAGCAATGCGGGATGTTGGAGCTGCAGAGGACCAGGCAGTTGCTACAGTTCGTCTCTCATGTTCCAGAAGGGATCGGGGGTTGCAGTGTCCGGTTCCCAGCTGCTGACTAACATATTCCCCAGAGAACCTCAGCGGCAGTCTGGGCTCCTGTGTTGCAGAAACGACCCCTCCTTTTCTTCCTCCTTCCACAGCTTCAGTTCTGCTCTCTTGCTGAGGAGCATCTCCAGGAGCATCCGGACATCAGGGTTGATGAAAGTGGGGTCACCACCCTTTGTCTGTGCACGGGGTCTCCCCAGAACGAAGCCTCTGGTGGCTGGTGGAGAAGAGGCTCTCGCTGGGATTTCCTGTGGTGCGAGGTGGGAAATACAGGGCATTGGCCGCCACCCACCACCGGGACAGGAACAAAATGATGCCTTCAAGGCCTGAGATGGCCAAGAAGGGAGGCCCCAGACATGAGTAACCTGGAGGTGAGCTGTACAGGACAGTGCCCAGGGGGCTGTCTTCAAGTCAGACTGGTCTCTGTACAGTTCTACTGACAGGGTGGAGCCCAGAGGTGGAAGGTGCTGGGTGAGGGGAGCCGGGGACGCCCATGGGGATGAGGCGGTGGCACGAGCATCTTCCACACGCTCCCCACGCGGCCGGTGGGCTCAGGCAGGTGCTGCCTTGCACCCTTGCCCCGGGGCTTGTGGACATGAGAGCTGATGAAAGCCCCCCTGGTCCGGGAGCTTCACCAGGCGGCTGCAGGAGGCAGGAGGCACGAGCTGCAGCACGGCTGGGTGGGGCCTGGGTGGCAGGCAGGGCACACCGCCCTTCCATTGTCCCCTTGCTGACTCCACAGAGCTCTGCCCCTCCCAGGCCCCAGGGCTCCCGTCACATCCCTTTTCCCCTTCTCTCATCTCCCCCTCCCAGGTCAGCCCTAGGCCTGGGGTCCCATCCCAGGCCCTGGTAGGAAGGGGGACAGGGAGACAAGGGGAGAGTCCCTCACTGTGCAGAAGTGGAGTCAGGTCCACAGACACCTCCGGTTCCCTCGGGCCATCTCTACAAGCTGGAAATCAGGATCCGGATTAGGACAGAATGGAGAAGCCTGGGTATCTTGCAGGAGGCTGACTGTCCCCCTAGGACAGACCGTCGGGGGTTGGCCCTGCAGCCCACGCATCAGTGTCCAGGCCGTGAGAACCTGGCAGTGACAGAAAAAAGCGCAGCAGGCAGCGCTTCATCGTGTTCTCAGTTCTCCATATCCATCCCCCAGGATCCTCACACGCCCCCTGTGGGGGACAAGACTGGGGTCACCTCCAAGATGAACCGGCCTTAGGCAGGCTGAGCCGCTGTCCACAGTTGGGCCTGGAGGCCCCACCTGCACACCCAGCTGGTGATAGGTCACGCCCACCTCCCCGCTGTGGGCAGCAGCCATTCCGGGCCCGCCTGGCTTCACGCCCAGCACAGGATCTGAGAAGAATCCCGGGTCCCATTTCCTTCCCAGGAGCCCCCTCAGCCCTCTGCGGCTGACTTCCTGGTAGACTCCGTCCCTCAGGATCGGCGAGGCTAAGTCCGCCCGGGGACTCCGGGCCAGAGCCTTACCTTTCAGACCACAGCTCTTCTTCCCGCTCCGGGGCCTCCCCGTCATGGCCACCGCACGCTGAGGGACAAGAAACATCGAGGGGCTGGGACCGGCCCTACCCGCCTCCCCCCAGAGGAGCGGCAGACGTTCAGTGTCTGTGGAGGACGTGACCTTCTGCACCTAACTGAGGGACCTCTGTCTGCTTTTCTCTCCTTCCACTCATTTTTAAGGTGCATAAAAGCATCTTTTGTCATCCTTCTTTGAAACATGCACGGAGGGATTTTCCATGTGAGATCCACCATGGGTGTCTTTTGTCACCATTCCTCTGCTGGAGAAACTCACTGACTCAGGCCTATGGATCCTGCTGTCAGGCAGGGTCCTCCTTCCCGAGGAGGCCAGAGGCCACTCCGGTCTCTGATGGGAGGCTCTGGGAGGCTCAGCACAGCCCTCAGGTCACCTGACACAGGGGAAAGGCCAGGCTGATGCTCCAGCCACGGGAAGGGGACCGATGCCTGATGCACGGAGCCCGGGGACTTCCTCCCACACAGACCTCAGCTCTGTCATCATCTCGTCCCGGCCCCTGGGTCCTGGCGTTTGATTGGCCCTGATGCCGCCTGCACGCCTGCACATGGGGTCTGAGAGCTTGGGATAGAAACCCACACCACTGTCACTTCCCTGCCCCACCTGGGCCTGGCAGGATAAGGGCATGTCCCATCTCAGGGGTCTCCAGTCAATTTGGAGAAGTAGAAATAATAAAAGGAAAGAGAGAGTCATTCTCTGTTGGGTCTGCGCCGACGGTCCTCACCTTACTGATGCTTCTTTTCTGCCCATGGGCTGGTGAGGGTGGGTCACCACGGAGGCAGGGGAGTAACAGGAGAAAGAGCCCCAGTCCACAGGGGTAGCCCAGCACGAGATCTGCCACCCAGGCAACTGAGCTGGGGCTCAGCGCTGTGTCACTAAGGCTTTTCAGAGGAGAGAGATGATTCTCCATCTTCAATCGTACTGTTGCCCTCAAGTCCCTGAGCCCTGGGAGTCTCCTCTGGGCCTACTGACCAGGGCCCAGCCCCGCATCACAGAGCTGTGGCCTCCCTGTCACAAAGGGCTGCTGGTGTGGGGGGGAGGGGCCCTGACAGGAGGAGGCTGACCCACAGCCCCTCCCCCACCCTACAGATCCCTCCAGCCCTCCTCCTGCCTGCTTTAGCAGAACTGGCACTATTCCTATGCCTTCCTCCCTTGGTGGGGGCAGTAACTGCACTTCAGGCTCACATTGTCATAACAGAACTTCCAGGACTAGATGATGTCCCACATGACTTACTTTCAAATGTTATCCGGTAAAAGTATGAAACAAAAACACAAGCAATTCTTTTTTAACCCCACCGTTTTTCACCACTAGCTCTCTACAGCCCAATAGGCGGAATAGAGCCCTAGAAGAGCACTTCCCACTCTCAGCGTCTTCACTCTGCAGCATGTTTGTCCTGATCGGTGACAGCTGCACAGACACATGAGGGTATTGCCTTCTTGTAAGTGAGGTTATGCTTCAAGTAAGACTGACTCTGAATTATCAGTGTCACATGTCCACTTCTTTTAGTGGAACTTGTGTATGTAACGGGGGAAACTCCAGGAGCGAATCCCACGTGATTATTTATACTGGGGCTCTCGCGCACGAGCTCACGGCACAGGGGAAGGCAGGTGGACGTGGACAGGGGATGGGGGTGCTCCTGGAGTCTAGGCTGAGCCCAGAGGAGTCAGCAGGGCCCGGCTCTATCTAGCCTTCAGTGGGCAGGCTCATCTGCTCCCCACGATGGTATCCAGGGGGGCCAGATCTCTGGCCTGTCTCTGAACCGCAGGCCAGCGCCCCCACCTCCAGAACTTCCCGGCCCACTTGATCACGTGAAGCCGTTTGGCTCCCACATTCCTGGAGCCAGAGGGGAATTTCAGCCCTGAGAAGCCGCTGTAACCCCTCCCCTACCACCGCACAAAGTTCGCGGCAGAGGGAAAGCCAGGCGAAGAGACGTGACACAGACTCCGGGCTGGGGTCTCCATTGGGTCTGACCATCCCAAAGACTCTCTGTAATGCCCGGGTTATGAATACAAGGTGCAGGGAGGGGCCCTGGGGTGAAGATGGGTCTGCAAGCTGCTGCCAGGCTCCTCCATGTCTGTCCCTTCTAGGACCCACTCTCGGGGACAGGGACCCTGGCCCTTCAACTGCACACCGGCACCCCATAGACAAAAGCCACCAGCACTCATGAGAAAAAACACATCCATTAGGAACATTAGGAAGCAATACACGTCTTGGTAGGAGGAAGCCATTAGCATATAGGGGACGTGATACCAGGAGACAAAACAGGTCTTCTCTGAATGAACCAGCTTTCACTCGGAGAAAACTTCCCACCAGGAGAGGCACAACCACAACGGTCTGGTCGAGCAGACAACCATGTTGGGTGATAGTAGAGGTGGCCCGAGGCTCTTGCCACCCTTAGCTCATGCTGGCAGGACCTGGCTGCAGACACCGGCTCCCTGAGCGCAGAGGCCCAACTGCCGTCCCTGTCGTGGACCTTCCTGTTCTTCCTGGGATGGCTGTAGCCTGTGGTGGTGGTGCAGTGACCACAGGTCACATCTTGCATCACTCTCTTTTGCTCTGGGTGGGATAGTTCCCTGGGGTAGCAGGAACACCCATGTGCCGGGGCCTAGGGTTCCTCCTTGTGACAAGCAAACTCCAAGGAACTAAGTCCTTGCCGACCCCCAGTTTCTCCACTAGGATCTGTCCAACTAGTGTAACGAGTGCCTGGACTTCGGCAGCCGTGCTGTGCACGGACACTCTTCTTGTGGCTGGCCCTGGGCTCTGGGCTGGGGCTGACCCGGGCTTGCCCTTCTGCAGGGGATCTTCCTGCCTTTTGCCTTTTTTATTGGCCTTCAGGCACTGCACAAAGTAGTCCCTGTACTGAAGCGGCTTTCTTCTGTAAGTCTTCTGCCAGAAAATGATCGTATTCCCTGGCCCAGGCAGCATGGCTCATCCCACTGTCTTGGGAGGTTCCTTGTTCCTGCAGACCTTTGTTCGTGCTCTCCTAGTTTGGGCCTCCCCCAGGACTCTGTCTTCTCAGCGGGACCAAACCTCTTCCCCTGACTCTTCCAGGGCACCTTGAATTTTGGCCTGCTGGGCTCCTGCTGCCCCTGGCTGCTCCCTCCCTTCCATGCGGGGTCCCATAGCCCTGGGAGGATGACATTTCCCTACTGGAGACACTCATGCAATAGGACAGAGGGGCCTGAGAAGGCAACATGTCTGCGGTGGGTGGGGGGAATGTCGGTGTGACAGCCTGGGAAGTCAGGCCAGTGGCACAGTCTTGGAGAAGGACTCCAGTGGCAGGACCTTGAAGCTGGTTCTCTGATTCTATTTCCACTTGGAACTCAAACTTACTCACAACCTTTGCTTCGAGGCGTAGCTCTCCTGCACCCTGGCTGGGAGAAATTCTAGACAGTGGGGAGCTCTTACTGGTCCCCAGAGACCCCGAGCTCAGATTCACATTGACGGCTTGGTAGTTTGTGATCATACTTGCTCCCACGCTGACTTCGCAAGCAGGAGTCTTCTCCTCCTCGGCCTCTATGGTCTCCGGGGCCCTTAGGATTGGGCCCACTGCTGAGCCCCAGCACTGCTCCACTACCCAAGGGGTCTCCTGAGGCCACGCTCTCCTTCTCCTCCCCTGACGCGTCCCTGGCCATTGCTGGACTTTGACTTGGCACTGTGCTGCCTCTCTTGATCCCCAGGACAGTCCCACTCTGCCAGGTTCTGTCCCCGAGGCTGAATGCGAGGGGCTGAGAAGGTCACCTGCCCTCCTGTCCAGTGGGAGGGGCCTCAAAGCACCCACGATTGTCCCCAGACTGGGGCCCTGTGCTATCCCTCTGGACTTCCGCTCTCACAGGTGAGGGGACAGAGAGAAAACCAGTCAAGGTGAGGACTGACTTCTCTGTTGTCACCTTCTCTCCTGGACCTCTCCAAGGACGTTCTCCCAGGAAGTTGTCAACCTCACCTATAGAGTCGTCCCCAAACTCACTCATGGCCCAGGAGGGAAAAGCAGAGTGAGGAAGGGGCCAGGGCCAAGCCTTGAGTCCTGCGGGCTCCAGGGACTGGAGGTCTGAACCCCACCTGTGCCTAACCCGGCACCTTCCAGGGTGAGCTCCGAGCACCTGTTGAGTGCACGGATCGAGGAAGAAAAGCTCCTGGCAGGTGTCCACGCAGCATTTCTGACCCCTCCAGGATGGCAGATTTGTGGGTTTTGTGCAGGAAAGAATCCCTGGGAAAGGCTGCATGAGGGTGGCAGGAAACGAGGACCCAAGCAGGGACCCAAGGCAAGATCTGGAGAGGGGCCCAGAAGATCCACGCACAGGTTCAAGAAATACCTCACTCGTGAGAGGTGAGATGGTGGGTAACAGACGTAAAGCTAAGATGTGAAACGATTAGAATTCTAGAAGAAAATGTTGGAAAAACTCTTATAGACAATGGCCCAGGCAAAGAATTGATGAAGAACATGCCAAAGGCAATCACAGAAACAACAAAAATAAATAAATGGGACCTGACCAAATTAAAAAGCTTCTGCACAGCCAAAGAAACTGTCACGAGAGCAAATAGACAACCTACAGAATGGGAGAAAATTTTCGCATGCTACACATCCGATAAAGGGCTGATAACCAGAATCGATTTAGAACTCAGGAAAATCGGCAAGAAAAAATCAAAGAACCCTATCAAAAAGTGGGCAAAGGACATGAACAGAACAGAAACTTTTCAAAAGAAGACAGAATAATGGCCAAGACATATAGGAAAAAATGCTCAACATCTCTAATCATCAGGGAAATGCAAATCAAAACCACAATGAGATATCACTTCTCTCCAGTGAGAATGGCCTTTATCAAAAAGTCCCAAAACAATAAATGTTGGCCAGGATGTGGAGAGATAGGAACACTCCTACACTGCTGGTGGGACTGCAAACTAGTGCGACCTCTGTGGAAAGCAATATGGAGATACCCTAAAGAGATACGAGTCAATCTACCATTTGATCCAGTAATCCCATCACTGGGCATCGACCCAAAAGAACAAAAGACATTCCGTAAAAAAGACATCTGCACTCGAATGTTTACGGCGGCACAATTCACAATTGCAAAGATGTGGAAACAACCCAAGTGCCCATCAATACATGAGTGGATTAATAAGACGTGGTATATGTATACCACGTAGTACTATTCAGCTATAAGAAACAATGGTGATATAGCAACTCTTGTATTTTCCTGGATAGAGCTGCAAGCCATTCTACTAAGTCAAGTATCCCAAGAATGGAAAATAAGCACCACACGTACTCACCAGCAAATTGGTTTCACTGATCAACACCTAAGTGCACATAGAGGAATAACATTGATCGGGCATCGGGGAGATGGGAGGGGGGAGGAGGGGATGGGTATACACAAACATAATCCATGAGGTGCGCACCATCTGGGCGATGGACACCCTTGAAGCTCTGCTTGGGGGGGTGGCAAGGGCAATGTAACCTAAATGTACCCCCATAATACACAGAAATAAAAAAAGAGAGAGAGATGCAAAATGAGAATGCAAAAAAAAAAACAGAAAGAAAGAAATACCTCATGGAAGGTTCTAGAAAATGATGAGGAGAAGGACATAGATAGTGAGTGGATTAGGCCCCAGAGCTATCAATGACGCAATCACTTACTCAGGGGCCCAGAGAAGCACCATGTCAAAAAAAATCCTGAAAGCTCATTTGGACAGAGGACCATTGCCGAGGGTGTAGTCCCTGTGCCGGTGCGTGGGTCCTGGCTTCCTGCCAGCCGTGCTGTTCCCAAGTCTGCAGCATCAAAAATAAATAAGTGGGATAAGCTTTTGCACGGCCAAGAAAAGAATCATTACGGCGAATGGGAGAAAATATTTGTTCTCTACACATCTGAGAAAGGGCTGCTAACTACAATCTATCTAGAACTTTAGAAAATCAACAAGAAAAAATCAAACAACCCCATCAGCAAATGGGCAAAGGAAATGAACAGAAACTTTTCAAAAGAAGACAGAATAATGGCCAGCAAACATAGAAAACAATGCTCAACATCTCTAATCTCAGAGAAATGCAAACCAAAACCACAATGACATATCACCTAACCCCGGTGAGATTGACCTCTATCAAAAAATCCCCAAACAACAAACGCTGGCCAGGATGCGGAGAGATAGGAACACTCTTCCACCGCCGGTGGGACTGCAAATTAGTGTAACCTCTGTGGAAAAGAATTTGGAGATACCTCAAAGAGCTGCAAATAGAAACACCATTCGATCCAGCAATAGCACTATTAGGCATCTACCCAAACGAGCAAAAGACATTCTACAATAAAGACATCTGCACCCGAATGTTTGTGGCAGCACAATTCACTATCGCAAGGATGTGGAAACAACCCAAGTGCCCGTCGATTCATGAGTGGATCATCAAAATTTGGTATAGGTATACAACGGAATATTACTCAACCATAAGAAACGACAGCGATCTAGCACCTCTTATATTTTCCTGCATTAAACCTAAGCCCATTATCCAAAGTGAGGTATCACAAGATCGGAAGAATGGGCTCCACCTGCACTCGCCATCAAATTGGTACTAATCGATGAACACTAGGGTGCTCACATGGCAGTAATATTCTCCAGGGATTAGGGGGATGGGGGAGTAAACCTGCAACTAAAGGACACGGGGAGCATTGTAGAGGAGAAGGGCATGCCTCTAACCGTTGCTTGGGTGAGGCAAAGACATAAAATGTAACCATAATGCTTGTACCCTCATATTACCCTGAAATTAAAAAAAAAAAAAATCTTACCCTTAAACCTATCCCTAACAGTACCACTAACCCTAACCCTGATGCTAACCCTA